GTAAATTAGTACCTACTTATGAATAATTTGCTACCCCCACAAACAGTAATACACATTTACCTTGTTTGTACTAAAAGAAATTCTTTCTTGGTTTAAAATGCAGTTAGTAATTATAATTACCGTAGTATCGGGCGATCAAAAATGAATGACTGTCGAGTCGCCTTTGGAAGTTGAAGTTAAGTACGATTTCCCATGTAAACAAAAATTCCAAAGGTGACTCGACGGTCACTCATTTTTGATCGCAATGTATAAGTTCCTATCTACAGAAAAAGGTCAAAAATCTCACTACCTGTAAACAATATTTTACTAAGAGCGGCACCTTCTTTGAACATTAATCCGCAATTCTGTATTTACCTATGATCCTAATACAGATTTTTCAAGAAAAACCTTCAATTACCTATGCAGTTGTTGGGACAACATTTTGATAAAGTCACGATGGAATATACATAATGGGAATACAGATACCGACAGCAAAGGTTCCCATAGTAAAGGGTGAAAATTCTCACTCTACCTGTAAACAATATTTTACTAAGAGCGGCACCTACTTTAAACATTAATCCGCAATTCCGTATTTACGGGTTTTTCTAAGAAAAACCTGCAACTATGCAGATTTTAAGACAACATTTTGGTAAATTTATGGTAGAGTATAATGGGAATACAGAGACCGACAGGAAATAGCAGGCGCAAATTAGGCAGAGCGTACATTTACAGAAAAGGTTATTTCATTATTGCTCGAGGAATAAGAAAAACGGATTAGAATTTCTAAAACCCTTATGGATATTGAATAGATAATGAGTACATTTTAAGAAATTAGCTGAAGAGGGGTAGCAAATTGAAATAAAAATATATTTTTTATGAGAAAAAACGGATGTATTCCACTATGAGAAGATGTGAATACGGAGTAAAAAGTAATTCATTTGTTAAAATATGTGCTTATGTTAATATTAAATTCATAAAATATGAACTAATCTTGTTTAGCATATTCTGTACACATTAAACATTAAAAATAAATCTTTATTATATAAACGATGGTCAAAGTTAATCATTGATTAGCACCAGAATGGAATTGCACCGTACCTTATAATCCAAGGTGGCCAAGCAATATAAGATTTTTAGTAAGTGTCATTGTTAGTAAAGCGGACACTAATGCCCGTACTAACTCGTAGATTGATCCGAGATCGAAGATTAATTCTGGGATTGACAGAAAACGTCACCAATAGTTGATATAATGGTAGATTCATGCGCAAATGATCGATTATAACTGGTTGTTTATTTAAGATCGTATTTGCTAATCTAGTTTCATGAATCCCGTCTTGATTCTTGACGGGCATAAGGGTCGGTTGTATAAAGCAGATTAAACCTCGTTTGGATTATATCAATGGGTTAAGATACCTAATTGGTTGAAGTTTGACAAAACGTCAAATTTTAACCATTCTTATACCTTAATCCAGTTGTTAACTACAAGCGAAGTTCAACCAGCCTTTATACAATCAGCCCTAGTTATTGTTCGCTTTGTTTGACTAAATGTGAAATTTAAGAATCGCGATATTCATTAATCTTTTACCGTTCAACCACATGATATTACTATATTAAGCCTAATGACATCAAAGTATAGATCAAAACTAATAAACCAGTAAAAGAAATTTCAAAATCCGGCAGTAAATGACTGAGAAATATATTATTTAAGTTTGTATTCAGCGCGGAACGGCAGTGTCGGTGACGTCATTTTAGGTAATTCCACGAAATACGATTTCCCATACAAACAAAAGTTTGTAAAGGCGATTCATAGGCGACTCCACTCTTTTTTGATCGCATGGTCAAGGCATGCTCTTAGCAAACTAGATGAAGTGACGTGACCGTCTCGAAATTATTTTTCCAATCGCAACTTTAAAGCCTTGTAACTTTGCCATTTGTGGAGGAATTTTATTGATTCTATGACATTTTTGTTTCATTTTAATTAAATTGTCATAATTAATTAATAACAAAAAACTGGAAACTTCTCCATTGTCGACGATGTGGTCGCTGTCGGCGTAGTGTCCCTAGTAATTTTTTTCTGAATAGTCGGCGTTGTGGGCACGTTCGGCCTAGTGTCCCTTGCACACTTGTCGGCGATGTGGGCGTGGTCGGCGTAGTGTCCCTTGTACACTTGTCGGCGATGTGGGCACGGTCGGCGTAGTGTCCGTCGGCGAAGTGGGCATGGTCGCCGTTGTGTCCCTTGTACACCTGTCGGCGATGTGGGCATGGTCGGCGTTGTGTCCCTTGTCCACTTGTCGGCGATGTGGGCACTGTCGGCGTAGTGTCCGTCGGCGATGTGGGCATGGTCGGCGTTGTGTCCCTTGTCCACTTGTCGGCGATGTGGGCACTGTCGGCGTAGTGTCCGTCGGCGTAGTGTCCCTAGTCGGCGATATGGACCATCCAAAAATCGGGTCGGCGTTGTGGGCATTCGGCGAAGTGTCCCGCCCCCATAAATAATATTAAAAACACGGAAAATTATAACATTGGATTTACACGTATAATTCCAGAACTGCCCTGATAAATATAATTTCCATAATTAGATACAACATTTTTTTTAATAATGCTAAATAGAAACAATACGTTGTCAAAAAGACTAGATTAAACAAAACGAAATCGAGTTCGTTATTCAACGCCTGTGCGCCATCTGAAATCTGTTTATACATTCTTATCTATCCTCATATAACCGTTGAGAGTAGGAATCGAATTCACTCAACGATTATAACATACGCTCTTCCACATTATGGGATACTAATACTAAAAGCCCTATTTCGGGATATACACAGCCACTGTGGGGTATGAAATAAAGTACTGGCTTTCCTTGTATCATTGAATATTCAATGCTTTTATGAAATAATTAATAAAGTAGTATATTTTAAAGATTAACGATGTAAGAGATCCGAAACTGAAAATTTGATCAATGGCCAATTAGACTAAATTTTCTTGATACCTTTGTCTAAATGGACTAATGAAGGCGTACCGATAGCAAACGATTTCACCCTTTACAAAGAGCAGTGCCCGATGACTCGGTCTCGGATAAATGTTCATCTTTTGCATATTGAATGGAAAATCGAAGAGCAAGTTGTGTTACATTGCAAAACTAGTCAATGGGCCGTATGAATAAAAGTAAGCAAATGCTTATACTTGTAAAATTCAAAGCAAATACTCGTAAGTGCTCCTTCGCACTGGGAGACTTAGCAGCGCTTCTAAGCAGAAGGACAGGACGCAGTGCAGCGCTGTTAAACCATGCTAAACAGACCAGTATGAAGGGGCAGTTACGAGTATTTACTTTGAATTTTGTAAGTATAAGCATTTGCTTACTTTTATTCATACGGCCCACTGTCTCTCTAAGTGGCAGCTGCATAGCGGACGCCAAAAATTATGTTATTTTTATTCGTATTGTTGCTAACTAAATGCATCTGTGGATAGATATCCCGTTTGACTCATGGATGTTTGGAGCAGCGATGTTGGTTGTGGGTGTGAAATGACTTATTACAACGTGTATAAGCCCAAAACTAGTTATTTTAATTCAAGGAACCTCAATAGTTTGAGGAAACAGAAATTTGTTTGTGGTGGAGTGCATTGTCTTACTTACACTAGTGGATGTTGTCATTACTTTGGATCTTTGGGGTTATTTGGACAATACACTTTTTTCTTCTTTCGTTCTTGGATGGTGTGATGAATCCTCATTTTATCTCTCTAGCCTCGAAACACTTTTTAACGCATTTTGAAATGTAAAACTTTGTCCCTCCTTTTATTCGCCTAGTAGACTGAAAGGCCAACTTTCGCATTTGTGAAGAGATATTCGTGAAACGTTCACGGCGAACTCTAATAATAGAACCACATTTCTCCTTTCTCAGATTTCTTTGAAAATTAGCTTCAAAAATTAAATTTCCTGAATGGCTTACTTGCAAAATCGAACGCTAAATGACCGCAAAATTTAAATATATTGTTGTGTAAACAACGTCATGTAGACATTATTTCGGTTTCAACATGACGGGACACCCTATATATAACAAACATTTCAATTTTAGTAAAATAAATCGAAATGGTTAATAAGCCATAGTTGGTTCGTTTTATTCGAATTTGTGCCTCAGTGTTATCTTTCCTTTGGTTTTGTTTGTAATTGCATAATTTTTGTTTAAATTGTATCGCTTGTACAAATTGTTTATTTAGATTTGTTTTGTTTAATTGTGAAAGGTGATATTGCATGTTAAAATATAGAAACATCTGGTTGTTTGCGATAAGAGGTTTTTTATCGGTCGTCGGTTAATTAACGCACGTGTTCTGGTGCTGATAACAAAACGTTCAGGTGACGCATTATTTTCGGCGTAAGTGGGGACGTGTTCAGGGCGCAGCCGGTGTTCTCCAATTTAATTGTATTGGCGTATTATTTGTAAATACCGGAGGAAGGAGATTATTCTGTAGCGTTTATGGCAACGCAACTGTAGCCTCCAGGAGAGTTGGTCGTTTGGGGTAAATAAAACAATTAAATAAATAATCGTAAATTCAACGTAATAAAAATTGTGCAATTGGCGGACGATTGACTAACAAAAAATAAATGCGGTAATTCAAAAACATACGGAATCTGCAAGGACTTACGGTTCTGTAATTCGGGAAATCGTAAACGATAAAGCTGCGGTTTTGGAAGCGGAAGCAGACACCTTGTAGAAAAAAATTATGAACCCATGTATACTATTATTACTGACTTTATAAACGCGACAATTTTATAATTTTTAAATTTTTACTGTTTCTGATTTATAAAAACGAAACAATCATATGTACGGATTCGTAATTTTTTCTCTACAAAAAAACCTAAATAGACTTTATTTCTAAAATAATTAGGGGAGCCAAGAATCGGAAGACGATCAATGAGTTTTTTTTTTAATTAAAATTCGTTGAATCGATCAAAAGATTTTCTCCAAAAGACCTTAGAATGAAACATGTTTCGTTTAGAAGGTACGTTCCTAAAAGTTTCTTTCTTTTAGAAAGATGGCTCATCCCTTCCCGAAGGTCGTTACACGATAAAAGATGGAAATTTAACGATCACAAACATTCACGAGGAGGACAAAGGTTTGTACCAATGTGCGGCCACCAACGAAGCAGCCACAATTACGGCGGAAGCGGAGTTGCTCGTGGAAAATTCGCCACCGAGATCACCGTATAATTTAACGACGAAGTCGGATTCGCATTCGATTACGTTGCAATGGGTTGCTGGACGGAAAAGACCTCGAATAAGGTATAGCGTTTGGTATCGGGACGTGAGCACTCAGGAGTGGAGGAACGTCGAAATAAAGAATACGCATCCACTCGAGGCAGCGATTACACATTTACTTCCAGGTAAAGTTAACACTGCATAACTCAACGTTTACCTATATATATATATACGATTTTAGGTCGTGAGTATGAGTTTATGGTTCTGAGCGAAGATCCCCATGGAGAAGCATTGTTCAGCAAACCGATCAGAGCAGCAACGTTAAACGACAGTAATAGACCTGAAGTGCTACAAGCTTATTCGCCGGTAGGGCCTCCTGTAAACATAAAGATCCACTCAGTCGACGACGGTTATGTTGTATCTTGGGATCCTCCAGAGTACGGATCGGAGTACTTGGCACAATACACATTAAAATGGTACGAAGCATCTAGTGAAACACTTGAAGGGCTTGTTGAAACGAGAGATACCGCATATTTAGGTGAAAAGCACATTTACACCTTTGGGCTACATACTCACAAGTTTCTTTTAGTATCCAATCTAGAAGAAGGTACCAGTTATGATTTCGAAGTAGTAGCGGTCGCCGTTGACGAATATCAAGCTGCCAGTCCTCGAGTGGCCTACCCAGTGCCAGCTTATAAGAAAATTAAAATTTTAACGATTAGTTTAGTAGTATTAGTCATTTGTATAGTACTAGCAGTTGCTTTGGTTTACTACATTAAGTCGAAATGGTGCAAACGTTACTCGAAATCCAATTCCATTAAGAAATAGCCACTTTACCACTCTGTTGTACTTTATCTTTTCAATTGTTTTCTCTTACATTTGTAAATTAAATATATTAATAATATGACGATAAAAAGTAAGCGGAAATTTAAATTCCCAACGACGTCGATCCATAATAACAATAGATTTGGTATGTGTTCAGCCTTCCCCCGAGGTTTGTATGAATTTTACTCGTATGTAATGTCACGATACCTAATAATTTTATTCAAATCCAAAATTAACAACAATTATTTCAATTACTATTGGTGAAACGGAAATGGGCGAACAGTTTCATGTTATAAACTGTACTAGCATATTCTTTTTTTTACCATAACGAAGCTATTAATAAACATTTCGTTTGAATAACACATTCCAGTCCAAAATAGTAGAAGATATGGAAAGGGAAGCAAAACACAACATGAACTCCATCGAAATTCTTTCGCATCAGAATATACAGGCTGTTTCACGCAAACCGTTACCTAAAAGTTTTCAAGCTCCCATTGATAATTTAAATTTGAAAATTTGCATACCAACATAGTTTTTATGATCTATGGAAAGAAAATATTATCATGAACCTTTCATTTCCAGTTGTGGATAGCAACCTCTTTATTTTAAATAAAACAGCTTGTATTGGATTGTATTTTCGAAACCTACATGAAGACTTTTCAAAGTGTTCAAGATTTCCAAATGTTTGACGTTTGACTGTTTTTCTTTTGAGCCCTGTACTGTACCTATTACTCCCTTGACTTGAATTTCATAAAATCTTCCAAAATCAACAATGCTGGTTTAATATGAGTACGATTTAAACGGTCATTGTCCTTCTGCAGGGTGTTTTGAGACTAATGGTCAATTTTAATAACTTCAAATCTGAAAAAGTTTATTTTTTGGCACTTTTAGATGTAGACAAAATTCTACATCAATTATTACATTCCTTGGTCCTATCTGTTATGCTTTCCGTTTTATTTTAGATTTTCTAAAATTGTGAGCGTTTTGAATTTATTTTTAACAATTATTATAAGAGATCGTTGTACCGTTCTTGAAGATATGAAATCTACTGGTTTCAACTTGAGGAGGCTAGTTCATTCTACCCATGATTCTCTTATATGTTACCGTTCATATGCGGAAAACCGTTAAAGACCAGATTGTCTAGTTAATCTGCAAATTATCTAGTTAAGTCAGTTAAAGTGCGAAAAATGCGTTTGCTTCGCAGATTACCTAGTTATTCTGCAGATGCACTAGATAATCTACAGATTGACAACCAAGTATGCGTTAATCTGAAAAAAATTATTCTTTGCTTAAATTGTACAGATTAACTAGGTAATCTACAGATTGCTACTAAAGGAAATTTCGTACTTTAACGGATCTGAACCATTAATCTGCAGATTATGTGCACGTTTTTCTAACATTAGCGGTAACATGTATATTTCTATGACGAACCTTTTTGAAGAGTGTAGGTGTATTCGGCCTATAGGTCCGTGGGGTTGAAAAAGAGGATTCAAGAAGATCAAAGTATCACGTCACTGAACACACATCAAAGACGAATTTTGAACTTTCCGGTAACAAATGCCTCTATTTTGACTAATTTGTTTAAATACGGCGGGAAAGACGAACCATATTATTTATTAATCATTAAATTAAGTGTTAACAATATGTCTATATGTCAAAAAGTGAACAGATTCAAAATCGCCAACAACGTAATTTCTTTATAGCATCCGATTCTCTCAAGGTAATGTAATGCCATGACTCTATAATTAATTTTATTTGAAATCGCAAATTTACTATAATTATTTAAATTAATATTTATGACGCGGAAATGGGAGAATACCTTCGTGTTATAAACTGTATTATTACTATCTCGCATTATATAATTCCTGGATGTCATTTTTCTTTTTTATTGCCCATGTAAATATTATATTATGGACGCCGAGAAATATAGCAAACCATATAAAAGGGTTATAATTTTACGATCAAAAGTTCAAAATCAAAGTATAAGTTCAAAATAACTGATTTTATCTTTGCTACACAAGGCTGATTTGACGAGCTCCTAAGCGAGTTCATTACTTTTCAGCACTATCGCTCGCGTAAGGATTCTTGGCGAAAGTCTTTGACGGAAAAGCTTATGGAAAGGAAATGAAAGCCCAGAAGTTAACCCTTCAAGCCCTTTGGAGACTTCTGCACCCATTATTCCTGGAGTTAAACTTAAAAATTGTTGATGCTTTTAAATAAAAGTTAATACAAGTTTGACACAAAAATCTATAGGAAAGTATCGTTCATAATCTTCACTCCTGCTGTTACATTCCCTGTGAATTCGTAACTTTTGTAAGATTTCCCAGCGGAAACAGCTTAAAGCGGCCGTTTTTCATTCCGTGTATCACCTGAAATTCCCAATTCGCGGTATAATCCGTAGAATAATTTAATCGTGCACGTGGGTGGCCAATGGGACGCGCATTGATTGGTAAAAGCTCCTGATTACTGTCCGAAATTCTAATTGCATGCGCTTAAGTATAGTTTTTTATCAACTGCTGCACTTTTATTGCATTGCGAGAAATAAACACGGACTACGAAGTGATTTTTATTGCCTTTCAACTGCATTTCTGGGTGTCTATTTTAAGGAAACTTATTGTGCCAACATCTATAATTACCTTGGCAAATGCAAATACAGTTAGAAAGCGAATTATTTTGACAACGAAGAACGAACAAATTACATTCATTCATTGGGCCAAACAATTTATTATAATGTCGAAATCGGAAAATAGAGAATTGAAATTTAAAAAACCGCATTTGACATTTAAAACTAGCTCAAAAAGGGTTTTGTCAAGTGAAATACACTGCAGAGTAGTATCGCTTCCCACGTAATTCAACTAAGGAGGCACAATGGAAGTTAAACTTTTCATCTTTAAACAAAAAGTGCATACATTCTTAAACATATTTTAAAATTACACTTTGTACAAAATTTGTCTTGAAAAATTTACAAATCGATTATAAATTTATGTGCAGGCTGTGTATCACGCATTTATTAGCCTACCTGTCTAAGTTTGTAATACATAATGTATGCTAGTTACAGCCTGCCTCTAAAACAGTTCTTTTTGAATATTTATCAGGTTAAGTATAACTTCCCCAATCTACATTCGAATGGTATTTCCATGTCTGATATTTACCTATTCCCTTTTATTAAAATTCAAATGAAGTCCTACTATATCTATAATAAGGATAAACGTTGTCTTTGCTCAAATATTATTTCGGCCTTTGAATATAAACTACTATCTACTATTAAAAAATTTGGCCTAAGCTCCGAAAAAAATGGTACTACACAAAAAAAACATCATCAAATTTCTAATTAATTAAAAATCTTACGGTCTATGAAGCATTTTACGGGTATGTAGAACTAATCTTTCTTCATCACTCCGATTAAAAGCAAATCCGCAATCAAATTAAAAAACCTCAAATAAATCCAATTATTTTATGTAACTGCAAGCTCAAAACTAAGTTCTGAAAAGTGGTATGGGAAACATAATCTAATTTAATGATTAAAATCTTTCTGTCTCTCTATCAATTATCATTTTTTATTGTTCGTTTGTGTATATTGTGATCCGAAGGCACTACCTTGCACCATAAAACAGACATTTACAATGCCACGACCTTGGTTCAAAACTCAAGGTCATGACCATGGTCCAGAATCCAAGGCCACGACCTTTTTATTTATTTAATTTTAATTATTTCATTTTTAGGTTTGCATGAGACCTCACAGTTGCGTATTTTTATGTCATCCGATGGATATTTTAATTATCTATCCGAGGATCTTTTTATTTTTCCTGTAGGATAAAATGGGAAGCAGGAATTGCCGAAAATGTATTTTCCCATGTTATTTCCCTATTGTCCCGCCGTCAACTTGCCACGCTGTATATCTATCTGCAGGATAGCATTTGCACGCTACTAGGTAAAACCCATAAAAACTGGGGAATACAGCGATTAAATAAAGGGCATTCGCCAATAGTCGTAATTTTTTTTTAATGAGCTTAAAATTGGAATCTTGATAGTGTTAGGATGTACCTAACAGTTAGGTACATCCTACAATCCCTCAGTTTCCATTAGAATTAAAATACACTGATCTTGCGATCTAAAGTTTCTGCTTATTGAAGTATGAAGTAATTATTGTGGGTTTTTCTTCAAATTTTAGACAACGGGAAAATGCACCGACGTGTATTTTTATAAAGGACTTGTCGCGCCCCTTTATTAACCGAGTAGCTTGTAAGTTTTGTTAGCAGTCAGTGATAACGACAGATGTACATCCTTAATTATTTGTAACGGTAAGGGTTGTGATTTTGTGAAATCAAGATACAGTAAACAAGTAAAATTAGTTTTGGTTAAGTGTATTTTCAATTCATTTTCTTATTCCACTAAACGCCTCCAGGATTATAATATTAAAATCTATATACTGCAAAAACAAATTGTTTATTTCGTATATGAAGTGTGTAATTGTTATATATTTAAAATTTAATTAGTCTGTGGTAGTAGGATACATTAAAATACTGCTGTGGTAGTATTTGTGGTAATAAAATTCTAGAATAACTGTTTAATCTACAAAGCATTATAGGTACAAAACTGATTTCAAATTGGACTTTCTTCTGATGAGCTTTCAAAGTTGGTAGGTATAGGTACAGTTTCGTTTCGTCAGTCATGAATAATCCGCAAGGAATTTTCTAATAAAGGTCCGTAGGTGGCATTGCAGTAAACGACCTCGACCACACTTGGAAACAGTATACATTGTATAATTAATATGCAATGTCCGTTACTTGTGTTAGCAATAGTAATTATTATTTCTATTTGAGTCATGAATAATCCGCAAGGAATTTTCTAATAAAGGTCCGTAGGTGGCATTGCAGAAACGACCTCGACCACACTTGGAAACAGTACATTGTAATTAATATGCAATGTCCGTTACTTGTGTCAGCAATAGTAATTATTATTTCTATTTGAAACAAAGCAGATCTTTTTGTAGAACTTGTAATGTGTTTCTACGCATTGTGCTCGTTATTCATAATGACACAAAGAGTACCCTACACGCTCCATTACAAAAAAAGTTATACACGCGGTTAATACACGATAGTGTAACAAAGAATTAGGTACAAATTCGGTACATGTGTACCATAACAATGCAACACAAAAGGGTTCAAAGTCGACTACTGCTAGATTCGTCATAGGTCTAAAAACGTCGTAAAAACCTCTATTTCAAGTGATAAGATTCAATTATGAGTAAAGCCTTCCGTTGATTATATAAAAAAATAATAGAATTTTCCTACGAATATTTCCCCATTCCGTCGATGAGATGCGACTTACGCGTATTAATGAGATTAAACCGTAACTGACTTCAATTTTGTAAATCAAATGCAATTAAACGGCACACGAATATACATAATACAAGGGCCACGGAGGTTAACTTTTTTATATACCTATACGTGTCGTGCCATTTATTATTGTGAGAAAATATCGTACAACAAACCATCGTCACATAATGCCTATGGTAGTAAAACTAAATATATGGGATCAGGCGCAGGATAAGTTACCTCATTGACAAAATGTTGCAATTGTAATATTAGAGTTAAGAAGGCTCATCTAGGGTTCTTGATCCGACAATTAAATTATAAAAATCAATTTTCAAAATGGAGGGAGGGGGGGCGGAATAAACACTCCCAGCCAGAACTCCAAAATTCCACCAAAAAAATGAAATATAAATTATCAAACCATTTTTTTTATATTTTAGGGTACACAAATAACGTGTCTTTACTCTGCGTATGTACAATTTATTTTTTTATGTGCATTTAATTCATTCCTTCCCTCTGTTAAAGTTTCAGAAAAATTCGTCCACAAATAAGAAACTTAGCACTACGCATCCACAACCTATTCTTTGACACGTCATTTTAATTTTATAAGAAGCATCCGAAACTTAGCACTACGCATCCACAACCTATTCTTTGACACGTCATTTTAATTTTATAAGAAGCATCCGCCAAAAGTGTAGATCGTAGTGGTGACACGGCCACAGGGACAGATGGACAAAGTGACCAAAAATGGCGCACATCTTTTTTATTTTTGTGGAAATGCGCTAAAAATATATGACCCGTTTGAAAAAAAAAAGAAAGTTTAGGAAAAAACTAACCATAGTCTAATATAAATGTCGAATATAAATAACTTTGGATGGTTTACTTTACAAGAGATTCCACACACGATTTTTGTTTATCTAATTGGTTGTAAAAGGTGTTCGTGTCTGAATGCATTTAAAAAATTCTCTTTTAACACTTCGGTACGTTCAACTTTTGAACGTTTGAAACAAAATTCCACATCATAAATGATTAATGCTTCCACAGAACGCAACGTTTTCCACCCTCTAGCTCTAAAGTTTTAACCGATTTCACTGAAGACTCGAGCATGTTTTTAGTAAGGAAGCATACGCGGGTGTTGAGCTTAATTTACCACAAAAAGCAAATCTCGAAATTGGAATGTTACAAAAACGAGCACTTACCCCTTACAGATGATGCCTGGTTCTACCTGAAACAAAGGACAAATTAGAAAAAAAATTAGAAAAGAAATAATTATAAGAACAATTAGGGTGAGTGCAAGCTGTCTATAAGACTCACATTCTAATGATTAATGGATGGTGAACAAAAAACATACTTTAGCAAATAAAAGCCTAGAAGCCGACCTCTCTCATTATAGACCTCTTTTATTGCAGACATTACTTATACCATTGAATAATAAATCTGAATATTATTCAATGCTTATACTTATATACTGGGTCGGTATAGCAGTATAGCTATATCAAACTGTTTTTCTTCATCAAATGTCCGCTTGGTTTCATGTACGATGATGGTGTTATTATCAACTGCACTGCACTCGTCACTCGCATTTTCTTCAACATCGTGACTATCTGAGGAAGGCGGTGATGAGATATCGTATCTCCTGTCACTGCTGAAGTTTTATGGGCATTTCTTGGTGGTCGATATCCCACAAAACGGTCGCCTTATTCACAGAGAGTTTAGTAACTAAATTTTCCCATAACAGAGAGCTGTCTTGAATTCAGGTGCGAACTTTAATTTACTCCGCAAGCATGCATTATTGGTACCTTTTTCATCAAAATGTTTTCCGGTAATCTAGCCGCGTGAAGTTAGCCCCTCAACATTAAAATCATGAAACGTTAAAACTTAAATACTTCCTTCGTTTACACATTGATTGCACATTTAGGCACACCTTGATTTTAAGATTCTGAACAAATAAAAATTGGGGAGGCTACCTTTACAATTTTAGCCCTCCAACATTAAAATAATGGAGCGGTGTATCTATATATTTCATTCGTTTTCACTTCGTTTGCCTTTGTAAGCACAAGTTTTTCCTTTACACTTTTTACTGAAAAAAGAATAATTTCAGGGAGCCTAATTCATGACTTTAGTCTCTAAACTTAAAACAGAACTGTATATTATACTTTATTCGATTTCGCCACCCTAAAAAAGAAATTAAGAAAATAAATGGGGGATGGTAGATTCGCCCATTTTATTGAACGTCAGTAAATGAATTTGCACTGATAGATTTTAGTTTGTCTGTTTCGGAAACGGGGTGTTTGATTTCGGTTAGACCATTTCCAGTATCAGGTTTATTTCGTTGGCACGTCCATAGAAATTTATGAGGTGAACTTCATGACAATATTTAGCGCCATTTTTAGCGCATTTTTCCTATCTTCTTCTACAGTTATGGACCGATTGTTTTAAAATGGGTGTCGTCGGAAAAATCTTGTAAACGCGCACAACTCCTGCGTGGGAGAATTTTGTTTTTTTTCCTAGAGACGAAATTAACCACAAGGCGCGCATCTTCGACAAGATCTCACTGATGGTAGAGTCAAAATTTCAAACGCGAATTGCGGGTAAACGAGACGTCGGAAGCCTGTACCGGCAAATGAAATGTGGTTATCCCCGACAAGATCTTAATGATGTTGGGGGAAAATCGTGAAGTTAGCTCCCTCCAAATTTGTTTTTTCAATATCTATTTTCAGAGAAATGTGCAAACGAAAAATCGAAGTGTGCCTACATGTGCAATCGATGAACAAACAATGGAAATAACGGCGTTCCCTCAATTTAATGTTGGGGGATAAAATGGTGAAGTTGGCCCCCCAACTTTATTTTTGTTAATATCTTTTTTTAGAGAAATGTGCAAATGAAAAATCGAAGTGTGCCTAAATGTGCAATCAATGTGCAAACGAAGGAAGTATTTGACGGTTTAATGTTGGGGGAGGAGGGGGCTAACTTCACGCGGGTGGGACGGTAATTACGGAACAAACAACTTCTCCTTTGATAACTTCCTTCAAATTGATCGTTTTACTATTGTGAAACGGGTGAACAAATGAATCCGGCGGTGTTATCCTGGATAAAAGATAAAGTACAAATACTGATATTGTAAACTATGCTAGTCAACTTGCAAATAGAATTATGTAATTAACTTCCGTATAGTAAGTTGATTTACTAACCATAAAAATTAGAGATCATTACCAACTTTCTATCATTCAAATTGTATCCATAAAAACTAGTTAGTGGTTTTCATGAATGTAGGTTCATACCCCTACCCTAGGGTTATAAATTGCGAAAAGCCAGTACTAATGATGATTCAACTCCATTTCTGTAATAGGAGCATTAGGATTTGGACCAAATTGGTTTTAATTTTGTACTCTACTGCCAGGATTAAGTACTTTCGGGAACATTTTACTTTTCAGGCAATTACGTGTCCACATCGCAATTCGGGGGCAACTTATACACAATGAATATAAACCTTGTCTTATCCAATTAATAATCTCCTTAGACTTTGCTCGTTAAACAATAGTGATATCAGGGTATTTATTGTCTCTTATTTGTAGGTGTTTTCATTAATTAATATACGCACCCGTTATTCGGTAAATGGATTTTAATTATGAATATTGAAATTCGACTTTCGTGCTCGTCCTTGTCCTATTCTTTGCTTTACAAATGTCATGCTACGATCAAATATTGACGGATTCGATTCTAAAATTAGAGCAATTTTTTTCTATTAAACGATATTTCGATTTGCAGTACGCATCGGGCCCTGGTCGTGATTTTGAATGAACAGAATGTTACTGCCCGAAAATGCGGAAATCGAACGGGTTGGAAAGAGAGAGTGGATGCCATCCTCGTATCCTACCAGAACTCTGCGAGGGAGTTTACGTGCACTGAACGTACGTAAAGGTGAGCTTTCTGTGAAAATCCAGCGGGTTTTCGACTGAAATGGAAACCGCGATCGTTAAGTGCAAACGTACCGACGTTGATAGGGTCTACTTTTGCATGGCTTAGTCACTCGATATTATAACTTACAGTGTTGTTAATGCATCCGCAAGTGTACGAACTCTCTTTGTTGTAAATGGGTAGCAATACCGAGCAGCTGATGTTTTACCAATGAGTTCGTACAACTGCAGTATTGAGTAGGTCCGTGTGTCGGCGATTCCCGTTGCTTTATTATTAGTGAATAGGCAAAGTTTAGTCATCGTTGGACATTGGTGTGTAGTGGTCGAGGTAGTGGTACTGTGTGTTGTGTATGGTTTTCCATTCAGAAAACACTTTTCCACGTTTTTTCAGACATAAGTGACAAATTCTTTGAATTGCCGGTAAGTTGAAAGGTTTGCAATTTTTTTGATTGATTTGGCAGTTATAATTTACGACAGCTACTGCTTCTTTTCCTATCTTTATTACTTCTAAATTGCATAAAATAGCTGTAGCTAAATCGGCTTATTGCAAATTTCCGTGTCTTCTGCGGTTCCCTATTTATAGGTAGAATCAAATAGGTATAATACATTACTATTTCATGCAATTTTTATGAAATAGATTGAATCCAATAACCGAAATTATTTGCCGGCAATTTAATTTTGGGGAGTGGAGTAGTTTATTGCTTTTGATCAACAAACAATTGCCTCTTTGGCACGTAAAATTATGTAAGTAGCTAATGCCTCGGTTACTAATGCAACAGCATACAATATTTTGTTATTATTCGAAAATGTATTAATTTATTCTTATTAATTCGTGAGGAATATTAAATAAGCTACGTATGCTGTATGCATATATCCTCGCATATATCACTACCACCGAACTCCCCTAATATACCTAATGTACGAAGGGGCGGTTTGCAGAAAGTATACTATGTATTTAAGTTCATCTATTTAAACCTACTTAGTGTTACTATTGTAATATGAATAGGTCATTTGTGGTTATGTGATGTGCCACAAGGATCAGTATCTGGACCTTTTTGTAATACCGCACGACTGACTAATAAAAAATAAAAAATTCCTTAAACCGCTTTTGAGCAAGAGGTGAAGAGTGCACTTTCAAATTTTTATTTTCGTTTTTAATAGCCCTTATGGACATGTCATGCCTTAACGAGAATAAAAACATGAAATAATTATTAATTTCTGATCGAATGACACCAATACCAAGTCTGTGGTGGTGTAGTTCCGGATCCTTTGTGACTCGACAGACAGACAGGCAGACATCAAGAGCGAAAAAGTGCACTTTTTATTTTTTAAAGTGAAAGTGCACTAAAAATCGAACCACGTGCTACAATAATGCACCGTAACGTATATTGTTATTTATTTGATTTCGGTAATCTATGTCAATATAAGACTTAACGATGGTTAATGGAGAATAATATTGTTATTATTTCATAATCACAGATTTCAAGTTGAAAGGGAAGCGACGAAGCGTATGCTTGCCAATGGCATTATGGAAGAGGCTGCAAATATTGATATGAGCAATGATAATGACCGAGTAATAATAACTAGGACTACGGTGGAGAAAGCTCGAATTAGAAGGTTAGCGTGACTTTTATTAAATAAGCTCAGAGACTCGCTCAAAAGCTCATCAAATAAACTTTGAAGATTTGCTATCACACTACCGTAAATAATTGAAAAATCCTCGAAAGAAATTTTTTATTCCTCAGTACTCATACAGGTTTAGCCGATTAGCAGTCATACAAAAATGAAAGAACTTATTTTTTCTACGAGTTTCAACAGTAAAGCTGTCGTCATCAGCGAACAACTGAACTATAGCATACAAATAAGCCTCTATTTATATTAATTACAAGTGAAAGTGAACGTTTACAATAGGCCTAAAGAAACCTCCATCATTGTTCATTAGGAAGCGTTTGTTTTGACGAACCTCTAAGTCACTGTTACTCACGGTCCTATACTAAATGCTAACTTACCTATGAATTTTTAAGGATCTATTTGTTTGCCCAATTTATACTTGATTCGAGACTTGATTACAATCTTTACAAAATATTTTGTATATTCCGGATTTATCCTAAACCTATGGGGGTGTTGTATACTACCGAGTATACTACAATCTTAAGTTCTAACAGTTTGGAAATTTAATTTGGAAAAGATTTTAGATAAACCCCCGAAACCTCTAGTCTCACCTCTAGTGTATGACGGATAATTGGGCAATTTAACATTTCTTATGTAATGTATTAATCGAGGTATTAATACAATTCCCTAACATTTTAAATCTGCTTCCTGAATCTATGTTTCCTAATGAAGTTCAATATTAATTCTTCGGAAAAACCATTGTATACTGCAATGTCTTAAATAAAGCATGTGTATGTTGTATACAGTGATTGTAATACTTAGCTATGAATCTCTTGGTGCTTATAGTATTCCTACGGTAAATATCTGTACCCGAGGGGATAATACATGAGCAAAATGTTGTACGAAAGACTACCAGTTGCGAAAGACTACCACAGACTACCATAGGACTACCCGTAACTACAAGAGACTACCCCATGAATACCAGAGACTACCATATAAATACCAGAGACTACCAATGAATACCAGTGACTACCACAGACTACCAATGAATACCAGAGACTACCACATGAATACCAGTGACTACTCAAGACTACCACACAGGTGGCAGCGAGATAAGGAGTTGTACCTGGACTGCAACCGGTGTTGGGTAACATCCTTTAATTCTAGATCTAGATACACCTCCAGATGCATTTAAAATCATGATCTAGACCCAGATCAAAGATCCGCACTTAGATCAAGATAGTCCTAAAATGATCTAGATCCTTTATAGATCCTTCATAGGTAAATCTGATTTACATCGGTGGATTTGATTCATTATTCGGAAAATGCTTAGGTACTTATCTCATTCTGTGTAACCCGAGGTGTAACCCCTTCAGGTTTTACTTTTATCTATGCAAAATTCGCAAAACAGCAAGAAAAATGATGCGTAAATTCTTGTGAAAAAGTCCTTCTTTAAAAATTATAATAACCGCCTAAATCTGAATTACTACTTAAGGCAAAGTGGTGTGCGTACCTACATAACAATAATGTGTTTCTCGGATAATTCGGGTAAACCGGCGGCGGCATGCCCATGAATCAGTTGTACAGGGTGAATCGAGGGGTGAGTCCACGATTGCGCGGAGTAACTTAATGCTTTGAAGATAAGATTTTTCGATAGAATACTTTTGCATTATGATATGGTTGAATATTCTCCACATTTTAAAAATATTTGGAATTATACAGGGTGCACCCATAAAGTAGGGCGCCCAAATGGTACATTTTTTAAAATAGAATCCCCTGTATTTGAATGCATTTTTGAATTCTACGTGTAATGGTAGGTACGTCTTTTTTATTATATGGTTAATATCCGAAAAGCTAGTAGTTTTAAAGATAATTCGATTTTTAAGAAAAACTGGGCATTTGCAAGCGTCAGTATATTGTCAAAATTATTACTTAAATTTTGATATCAGGTTTTCTATTTTTTATCCTGGGTTAAGTAAAAGTCAAATAAAGACATGTACTATCTCGTGTACTATAAAACATTTAAAAAATAGCTTACAGGGTGTTTTTTTCTAGATCCAAAGTTACAAAACTTCATATTAAAAAATCTCACTTTTTTAAATGGAACACCCTGTATATTTTTCTGTCCATCATTTAGCTCCTCCAAAAACCTTCAACTTTTGATAATAATGTCCTATACCTATCTCTGATAGTTTTCGAAATATCTTGGTTTTCCTGGTTTTTATATTCTAATCTTAAATAAGTTATATGTAATTTACATAATAGTGAGGTGGCCATGCAAAAAAAAGGTAATTTTTATCTGCCTCGTTCAAAGCTAAAATCATATTTATTAATTATTATTATTATACAATTACACGTAGAATTCAAAAATGCAGGGGATTCTATTAAAAAAAATGTACCATTTGGGCGCCTTACTTTGTGGGTGCACCCTGTATAATTCCAAATATTTTTAAAATGTGGAGAATATTCAACCATATCATAATGCAAAAGTTTTCTATCGAAAAATCTTATCTTCAAGGCTTAATGCCTCCGCGCAATCGTTGACTCACCCTGTACTGTAAATAATTACCGATACTACCCCGAGTACTACCCCCTAAGCTAAACTACCCGTTATGCTAATGACTATTGACTTTCTGCTTAAACCTGTCTACTCTTAAAAGGCTGGTAAATCCCTAAAACTTGAATGGAACACATTTATTCTTTAAACATAGAAACGATTTACTCCGCCAATGTTAAAAACATTTATAACATAAATAAATTAAAATTGATCTTTGGATCTACTAGTGGAAAATCTATTATAATATAATCTAGATCTAGATACAAGATCATCTTCTAAAAAGGGTCTAGATCCAGATCTAAGATATATGTGATTATCATGGAAACCTTGGCCTCGACCTCGGCCTGTTTTTAAATAAACACACAAGACAAATACATTATTACTGATTGAATCGCTACCATCTTTAAAACAGAATCGTCACCTTCAATCACCAGCACTGCAACAATCAATTCAATTAATTTAAAAAGTATGCGATTTGATAGACAAAATCATAAAAACCATAGTTTATGCCGGAAATACCTACCTACAAGCCAAAATGGAAAATAATAAAAAAGTTAGTAAATGCTCATAGGAATACCAAAGACTACCACTGACTACCATCGGAATACCAGAGATTACCATTGACTACCACGGGAATGCCAGAGAATACCACTGATTACCTTCGGAATACCAGTGACTACCACAGACTTCCATAGACTACCACAGGAATACCAGAGACTATCACGGGAATACCAGTGACTATACCAGTCATGTGTACGAAAGAATACCACAACGACTAACCCCCCGGTTTCCACGGACTTAAAACTGAATAAAAGTTGCAATTCGTATAAAGGATATTCTAGGTGTAACATGGGATCCTCGCAGATTGCATTGGAAAACATCATTAATTTCAGTTCTTTTACATAAGTAGCGAGATAAGTAGGCATAATACAAACTTACTATAAAAGTCCGCCTCGCCTTGACTACAGTACAAAGAACATAGAGCAATGGGCAATGCAATCTTTATGGCAGTTTTTAACGCGGCGATGCCGATTTTAATTTGAATGTTAATTGTCCCGATTTCCAACGTGAAGTTAATGTCATTTTAATGCATTTGCCCACTGATAATCAACAATTGAGTTTAAATTCTGGAAGTTGATGAGAACTGCACAGGGTCGAAGGAGGCAATGCATATAATCGTGTATTCCGTCATTTTTTACTCCAATGCGGGTGGTAAAAGTAGACGGTAGCATTGAAGAAGTAATACGTATTC